CCCTGGAACGCTTAGTCACCTTCCAGAAAATAGGCAATGCTCCCTCCATGCCCCCCATATGCATCTGTCTCTTTCTGTCGTGTGCTTGTGTGGATGTGGCTCTGAGAATGTGGTGAACTGGCCCAAGATTCCCCAGAATCCAGGGAGGACCTTGGTTTCTTTCTTTTTTTTTTGAGATGTTTTTGATGTGGACCATTTTTAAAGTCTGTATTGAATTTGTTACAATATTGCTTCTGTTTTATATTTTGGTTTTTTGGCCACAAGGCATGTGGGATCTTAGCTCCCCTACCAGGGATTGAACCTGCACCCCCTGCATTGGAAGGCAGGAGTGCCTTAACCACTGGACCACCAGGGAAGTCCCAAGACCTTGGTTTCTGACCCTCCCTCATTTTGGGGGCAACCCAACCAATCACCCCAAGTCGTGGCTCTAGTCCCGCCCCCTCTGTATCTCAGGGATTGGGACATCTCCCTTGATCAATAGTGATGTAAAGCACAGAGAGGGCACCAGACAGCCACTAGTCACACAGCAACGGCAAGGCAAGTCCCAGCAACTGGGTGAGGCAGCGCTCCTACTGGCCTTCCTGCCAGCCCTGGCTCCCTGCCCCCGGCTCTGGCCCTTGACCTTCCACAGGTCTCGCCCTTCCACGCCAGCGTTCATGTGGACTGTGTGGCACGGCGGGCCCTGGTCTTCAGAGCACCACCCCCACCCCCAGTGCAGCCTCTCCTCCCTGAAGGACACTGGTCTGCCTATGGCGGGGGGGTTCAGTAACTAGGAGAAAGCACTGGGCTCCCAGCAACACTGAGCCAGAGAGATGAAAGGCAGCAGCACACAGTCCAACACGGAACATGCTGGGAGGCCTGCGGGGGACAATGGGCATCCTGTGCCAGCCTCTGTGAAATCCACACCTGCTGGGCCCTGGCCCAGACACAGCTGCCACTATGCCAGGCAAACACCTGGACACTTCACCAATCCCTCACACGATGTCTTCCACACTGCACAAGCCATGGGCTGCACAGAGCGCACCTGTACCCGCCTCACCCAACAGAACGTCCTCCACCTACTGCGGGTCCCCAAGGCAGCAAAGACCCACCATTCAGAGCGGAGATCTTTTTTCTCCGGTACGTGGGCCTCTCACCGTTGTGGCCTCTCCCGTTGCAGAGCACAGGCTCCGGACGCGCAGGCTCAGCGGCCATGGCTCACGGGCCCAGCCGCTCCGCGGCATGTGGGATCTTCCCGGACCGGGGCACGAACCCATGTCCCCTGCATCGGCAGGCGGACCCTCAACCACTGCGCCACCAGGGAAGCCCTAGCGCGGAGATCTTTGAAGATAATCCTCCCCAACGCGCTGACTATGGTCACCACCGTTACCGCCCTAACCACATGCTAAGGGAAAGAAGCAAAGCTTCTGTGCAGGCGTTCCAAGTTTTAACGTCCATACAAATCACCAGTGTCTTGTTAAAATGCGGTTCTGGGGCTTCCCTGGTGGCGCAGTGGTTGCGAGTCCACCTGCCGATGCGGGGGACACGAGTTCGTGCCCCGGTCCGGGAGGATCCCACATGCCGCGGAGCGGCTGTGCCCGTGAGCCATGGCCGCTGGGCCTGCACGTCCGGAGCCTGTGCTCCACAGCGGGGTGGGGTCCGCGGCGGTGAGAGGCCCGCGGCGGTGAGAGGCCCACATACCGCAAAAAAACCAAACCAAACAAAACAAAAATGCGGTTCTGATTCCTTATATCTGGAATCATGGATTTGCATTCCTAACAGTCTCCTGGTGATGCTGACGTTACTGGTTTAGGACCACTTCCTAATTAGAATTACCTGGGGATCATTTCCAACACCCAAGTCGCAGCCCAGACTAATTAAATCACAACCTGCGGGATCCAGGCATCAGGAGTGTTTGAAGCTCTCCGGGGGTTCCAGGCTTGGAAGCCACCGTCCAAGGGAGTATATAGGGACCAGAGGGTGGACTGGTTTGGTTGAAGCCGAGTGCACTTGGAGTTCACGGGACACTGGTTGAGCCCCCAGACGCGTCGGGCGCCGTCCTAGGTGCTGGGCGTATGTAGGGAATGAGACCCACTCCCACCTTCTTGGTGCTCATGGTCATGAGGGAACATAGACATTAAACAAGGCACCAAGCCAGTCAATGGGATAGCTCCAGGTTGATAGAAAGCCACAAAGAGAGGAAACAGTAATGAGAGATATAAAATGGGGAAGTCCCCCTCAGGTCTGGGGGTCAGGGAAGTCTCTCAAAGGATGTGACATTGAACTGAGACCTGAAGGTTGAGAAAGAGCTATCCTTGTAAGGAGCCAGGTAAGAGCATCCAGGTAGAGAGAAAGGTAGGTACAGAGGTCTGGTGGTGAGAATGGAGGCAAGCGGCAGAAAAGCAGGGAAAGGAAGGCCTACCTAGCACCTTAGTCTTTACCTGCACGGGTGGATGAGGGGCAGAGAGCCTGGCTTGTGGGAGAGGCTGTGGCCTCCAGCCCAGACCCTCTAAGGAAGGAATATGGAGGTGTCTATTCTCATCATACCCACAGGAAGAAGAGCCCCCACCTCTGACAGCAGCAACATCCAGGCGGACAGACCCAGATCCTGGTTCTAACCCAAGGGGTAGAGGGAGGGCTGAAGGGAGGAGAGCCCCGGAGGGCAGGCCAGGCACAGATCCACCGCCTACCTCTGGCCGAGAGCTTCTTAGTGTTGATGATCTTGGCAGCATATTCCTGGCCAGCCAGCACCTTCACACACCTGCGCACCACTGAGAAGGCTCCCCTAGGACAGAGAAGGCAAAGAGGGTGAGGGAGGGCCCAAGGGCTGCGTTCCCAAGAGACACCACAGTTCGTGCAGCTGCACCGTGCTGGGAGGAAGCCCTCGCTCAGTGCTGCTTGGGCTCGTAGGGGCTGCTGGGGCCTGATTCAGGGACGGAGCAGGCCCGGAGACCCAGGCGAACCACTGGTAGTAAATCTTTAGGAGCTTGGCCTCATGAGACATGAGACTTGTAGAGTCCTAATAAGTTAGGTTCACCAAATTCTAAAACATTAGAATCATGCAGTGTTAGAATCACAGAATCTAGGTCCCTGGAAATTTTCAGTTTTTTACTCTTTGAGTAGGTAACACATTGACATGGTTCAAAGTTCAAAAGGTACAAAAGTGTAGATAGTTAAAAGAGTCCTCCCCATCCCTGTACACTAGTCTCCAAAGTCCCCTCCCAAGAGATGGCCAGTGTTACCAGAGCATCTTTCCACAAATACTCTCCCCAATACTGGATACTGGACCTTGCATGCTGTTCTACATTCTCCTCTTTTTCAGAATTTTTTTTTTTTTTTTTTTTTTGGCGGTACGTGGGCCTCTCACTGCCGTGACCTCTCCCGCCGCGGAGCACAGGCTCCGGACGCGCAGGATGTGCAGGCTCAGCAGCCATTGTTCACGGGCCCAGCCGCAACGCGGCATGTGGGATCTTCCCGGACCAGGGCACAAACTCGTGTCCCCTGCATCGGCAGGCAGACTGTCAACAACTGCGCCACCTGGGAAGCCCCAGAAATTTTTTAGAGATCCTCCTTCTGTATTATAACATAAAGAGTTCCTATTGTAAATCAACTCTACTCCAATAAAAATTTAAAAATAAATATATGTTTTTTAAAAAAAGTTCCTCATTTAATCATGTGGCTGTCCTATAACTTACCTAGCCAGTCCCCTGTCGATGGGCAATTAGGTTACTTCTGATCTGTAGCTATTACAAACAGTGCTGCAATGACTAATCTTGTATGCGTGCATTACAATTACATTCCCCATGTGTACAAGTGTCTTCGACTAAACTTCTAGAACTGGTATTATTTGGTCAAAGGGTAGGTGTTGTGTGGTAATTCTGGTAGATAATGAGAGATGATCCATCTTAGAGGTGTACCAACTTACTTTCGTACTAGGATGTGAGGGGACCATTTTCCTCCACCCTTGTCAACACAACGTGTTATCAAACTTTCATATCTTTGCTAGTGAGATGTGGAACGTGGTGACTCAGTGTAGATTTGATTTGGAATTTTCATATCAAGAGCGAAGCTGAGCAGTTTTTCATGTTTTAAGAGACTCCTGGGTTTTTATCTTCAACGTATTCATGGCTGGGAGAACTTGGAGCAAGGGCTGTGGGTTTCACTGCTCATAGAAGACATTGTTGCCATGTGGAATGTGGCCCATTTCCCAGATTGTTTGATTTTTCGAGAAAAACTGGAAGTCTGGGTATTTTCGTGACATTTCCCAATTTCTAAATACTGGTACCTTATTCCAAAAAATTTAAACACAGTATTTTGCCAAACAAAACTAGTTTGAGGGCTAGATCCGTCATCTAGGTGCCATGTTATACCCTCCACCACAAAGGTCAGCTGGTCCAACCCCTTCACATCACAGAGGAGGCCCCCTAAGGGGCCAGACACTACCTGTGGTCACCACCATTACCACCTTAACCACAGGCTAATGTCAAGAAGCAAGTCTCCTGGGCAGCCTTCCCCAGTTTTAATGTGCATAGGAATTACCCAGGCATCTTGTTTAAAAGGCAGATTCTGATTCCTTAAGTCTGAGGCGGAGCCCCAGATTTTGAGCTTCAGTGTAGCTCAGGGTAGATTGATTGCTCAAGGTCACACAGGCCAGGTCATGTCTAGAACTCAGGTATTTCCTCCCCCAGGTTTTTGGCTTCTCTTCCACCCAGGGAGCCTGCCACTTGCTGGCCTGAATGCCCAGGCTCCTGAAATGGCCTCACCCCACCATATCCTCCAAACTTTGATCCCCTCTCCTAAGCACACAGGCAGGTCCAAGCCACAAAAATGAGGCTGATGGGAGCTGGGGCGGACACTGGCAGGCACTGGGAAAGCCCGCAGGCTGGCGGAGGTGCTTGCCCTACACACACGCCTGGGCGTTGTGTCACTGGCTTCTTCGTGTCCGGGCAGCATGAAGGGAATGGGTGGGAAACTGTGGCGAAGGATAAGTAAGAAAGATCTGGGAGGAGGGCTAGAGACCAGGAAATATGACCTCATAGGAAAGCTGAGGACGGCCAGAATTCATGGGCACAGCAACAGACCGTCCATGGGGTGTGCAGCCCTGCCTGTCCTCCACCTGGAGAGAGCAGCAGACCGGGTGCCCCTCCCTGAGAAGCCTCCTGGCGACATGTCCCGTTGTTTGTGCTCCCAGAGCACCCCACACCTCCCCATCTAGCCTAGGACTGGGCTTGCTCGTTCAGCTTGTCTGTCCACCAGACGGAGGGTTCCTGAGGGCCAGGACTGGAATGTTCTCCACACCCATGCACAGGTACCCAATGCTACCTACCAACAGGGCCTCCATAAATGTTACTATAGGAACAGGAGGCAGATTTAGGTGAGAGGTTCTGAAATGAGATGGGGAGAAGATTTCAGTGTGGGGTTTTAGGAATATGAACAGGCATCTGAGGAGGGTGCGCACACTGGTCTCTCAAAGGTGCCCACCCTACCCAAACAGGGAGGTTTCTGCCCAGTGGGAGGCCACGATTCTCAGAAGCCCCAGGAGAGAGAATGTTTCAAGGGGTCACTTCTGGGAAAGGTTTTGCGAACTCCAGGGAGAGGAGGAGCAGAGAAGGAGGGCTTGTCTCACTCACCAGCATCTAGCTCATGGTTGGGCCAGAGTTGGAGTTTAATTAACTTGGATGGAGGGATGGATGGATAGAGTGAGGGAGAAAGGGAGGATGTGAGGCAGGGAGGGAGAAATATAATTTCTCCACTAGAGAAACAAAACTCCATTCTAGATAAAGACATTAGATCGATGGTTATCAAACTGGCTGTTTCAGAATGCCTTGGGAATCTTTTTTTTTTTTTTTTGCTGCATTGGGTCTTCGTGGCTGCGTGCGGGCTTTCTCTAGTTGCGGCGAGCAGGGGCTACTCTTCGTTGCGGTGCGTGGGCTTCTCATTGCGGTGGCTTCTCTTGTTGCAGAGCATGGGCTCTAGGCATACGGGCTTCAGCAGTTGCTGTGCGTGGGCTCAGTAGCTGTGGCTCGCGGCTCTAGAGCCCAGGCTCGGTAGTTGTGGCGCACGGGCTTAGTTGCTCCGTGGCATGTGGGATCTTCCCGGACCAGGGCTCGAACTTGTGTCCCCTGCATTGGCAGGCGGATTCTTAACCAATGCGCCATCTCTTTTTAAAAGATTCCCGGACTTCCCTGGTGGCGCAGTGGTTGAGAGTCCGCCTGCCAATGCAGGGGACACAAGTTCGAGCCCTGGTCCGGGAAGATCCCACATGCCACGGAGCAACTAAGCCCGTGCGCACAACTACCGAGCCTGCGCTCTAGAGCCGCGAGCCACAGCTACTGAGCCCGCATGCCACAACTACTGAAGCCCACACGCCTAGAGCCCGTGCTCTGCAGCAAGAGAAGCCACCGCAATGAGAAGTCCACGCACCGCAATGAAGAGTAGTCCCCGCTCGCGGCAACTAGAGAAAGCCCGCACGCAGCCACGAAGACCCAATGCAGCCAAAAATAAATTTCAAAAAAACAAAAAAAAAACATATTCCAAGGCATCTCCCAGACCTACCAAATCAGAACCTTCAGATGCAGGCCCAGAAATCAGTATTTTCAGTTAACAGGCTGCCCAAGTGATTGCTTCCCAGCCAGCTTGGCACTGCCCTGCCCGCCTTCTGGGGAAGTCCTGCTAAATGCCTGGTCCCCCTAGAAACCAGCATTGATGGGCCATCACATGGGGCTCTGTGCAGAGAGGCTCAAGAGGCTCTATGACCCGGGGCTCTGCCCCAGGAGCTGAGGACTAAGAGCCATGTCTATAAAACAAGAGAAGGCACGTTTGCTGAACTTCCTCCTCAAAACACAGCACCAAGATTTGTGTAAATCCCAGGCTCTAACTAGGGGTCCAGGCCAAGGGCGGAGCAGCGGCAGGAACTCTGTGTCTCTGAACGTAGGCATATGCATTTTTTTCTGGGGCAAGAATGCATAGCTTTTAGCAGATTCTCAGAGCGAGGAGTTTATCAAATCCAGTTCAGGGCTACTGATCCAGAGAACACCAGCCTCTCACATACCCAGAAGATGTCCTCCCTTCAAATGCACATTCACCACTGAGCTCCTTGGCCCTCACAGCAACCCTGTGAAGTTGGAATTATGATCCCCTGTTTCACAGATCAGGAAACTGAAGCCTTAAGGGAGGAGGCATAATCCTCTCGAGGCTGTGAAGAGAATCCAGGTCACCTGCCCTTGTTCTTCTGACTCCACCAAAGGCAAGAGAGTGTGACCCTGAAAAGCAGGGGCTCTGGGCTCACAAAGCCTTGTGATCTGATCGTGACTGAGCCCCGACTGTGTGATATTGAACTTGGCCCTTCAACTGTCTGTTTCCTCCTATAAAATGCGGTCAATAATAATATCTCCTTCCTGGGTTTGTTGGGGAGGTTAAGGGAGGTAACACATGCAAAACACTGGGCACAGTGCCAGGTACACAAATGCCTGAATGGGGCGAGGAAAGGGTCTGGGCCAAGGAGCCCCTCTTTCTACCTACGCAGCCTCAGGTCTCCATCCACAAGTGGAAAGGCTCCTCCCGGCCTGTCCCGGTGCTGGGGATCAGGGAGAGGAGGGGCAGAGGAGAATCTGCAGCAAAATGAGAGTGTGGGCAGCAAGCTCGCAGCCCTAACTTCCTCTCTTTTTTATCTTTTGTTTAAAAAAGGCATGTTTCTGCATTCTCGTCCCGCATGAGCCAGTGGCCACAGCCCAGCAGCCTTGGCAAAAGGAAGAGCCAACCCACTCCTCCCACGGCCCTGAGCTGAGCAGGTGGCCAGTGGGTGGGTGGGTAGGAGCCTGGAAACAGGACAGGGTGGAAAAGGGGAGGAGGCCAAGGTGGGGAGGGCAGGGTGGGAGGGAGCGACCAGGCGTCCCAAGAGGAAGGGATGAGGCCTGCAAGCGAGGGCCCTATGTGAGTGGGGGATGTCCATGGGGGGTACTGGGAGTGCCTGTGACAGCGTTTCTGGGTGCAAAGTGTTCGGGGGGGGGGGTCTGCCCACAGGTGTGTGTCAGCAGCCCATCAGTGCCCTTGTGTATGTGATGTCAAGAGGCTCTGGGTGTGACAAAGCACACGTGCGTCACCCTGGGTAAGTACCCATGTTAGGAGAAGGTCACAGAATGTGGGCAGGGAGGGGTGTGTGTGTAAGATAGACACTGGAGGGACGAGACCTCAGCTCTCAGCCCTGCTGGGAGGTCTTGGGCAGGGGTCCAGCCCAGCGTGGGCATCAAATTCTTCATCTGCAACTTGGGGGGTGGGGTGGGCGTGGGGCTAAAAGGTACACAGGCCTTTCCACCTTCAATATTCTGTAGCGAGCTGTCCAACAGAACTTTCTGTGATGATGGAAATACTCTGTGTTGTCCATTATGACAGGCACTAGCCTCATATGGCTATAGAGCATTTGAAGTGTGGCTAGTGGGACTGAAGGACTGAATTTTTAATTTTATTTCATTTAAATCATTATAAGTGACTAGTGAACACCATATTGGATAGTGAGGTTTTATGTGGATAAGAACAGGCGCTCCTGAACCAGGCAAACCAGAGTTCAAATCGTGGTTCAGCCTCTTACCAGCAAGTTATTTAACCTTGGTAAGACTATTTCCTCCCCTGTAAAATGTAAGTGAGAATAGTACCCACCCTGAGCAGCTGTTTCAAGGATCCAGTGAGAGAGTAAGGTATGCAGTGGGTTTAGCCCAGTCCCTGGAGTATAGTAAATGCTCAAGAAACAACACCTTTTATAGGCATCATGATCTCCGAAGTGATGAGAACAGCCAGCATCATCAGAGGCAAATTGGACCTTGTCTGCCAAGCTCGGGGAAGGAGCAAGCCAGGACAGGAGGTGTGGGGAGGCCATGGTGAGGGGGTGGGGTGCTCCCCAGGGCCCAGCAGCCTGTCCCTGGATATGAGCAGGCAGGGAGGCCGCACCTGGGTCTCCGACTGACGGATGGGGAGGTTGCCGTGATAGTGGGTCCAGTGTGGCTGAGAATGTGTGGACGTGCTAATGGGCCGTGAGAAGCAGGATTCACCCTGGGAGATTGCTTCTCAGCTGCCTGGTAAGCAGAGTGTCCTAGGAGCTGCTGGCTGCCACCCACAGCAGGCTCATCACCCTCTCTGGCCTAAAACACCCCAAAATGCTGACATGGCTGCAGAGGCGGCACCAGGAACATTAGACGGGGACTCAGGAGGCCTGGGTCCTTGGCTGCCAACTTGCTTATCCTTCCATTTGAAAAATGGAGATGAGGAGCCCCAGCCCCATTTCCTCCTGGGCCAGCTGTGAGAAGTGTCTGCTACGTAGTGATAAGAAGAGGTTCCTGATACCCAAGACTGGTTACTGCCAACTTCCCCTAAAGGAACCCTCCCCTCCTTTATGCCGGAGCCTCCCAGAGCCCACGGCATTTGCCTGCGGGTGTCAGCAGACGGGGACACTGCTTACGGGGCTTCAGTCACCGAACCCCCTCTCCACTCTGCCCTCCTTGGGGGTCTGATGAGCAGGAGTCCTGACAATCTCTAGGGTCTTCCCTTCATTGGCTGCTTCCTCAAACACACCCAGGTCTCCCACATTCTGCAACAATAAACAACCTTCCTTCTCCCAAACTTAAAAAATTGAAGAAAAAGCAAGAGTGTTTCTCTCGACCCAGCAACCTGGGCCACTTCCTTCCTCCCTTTGTTGCTGCCAAACTTCCAGAACAAGTGTCCGACATCCACCGCCTCCTCTTCCCACCTCCCACACTCCATGAACCCACCACAATCTGGTTCCCACCTCCGGGCTCCCTGGAAGAAAAGTTGTGCCAGGCCCGTCCCCCGAGCCCCCTGCCAGCCCCGGCATCCCCCACTAGGTCTGATTGATCTGCCTAGATTGCCCCACTGACCACCCAGCTTTGAGACCTAGCTTCCCTCTTCTTTCTGCCACACTCTCCCCGGACCGCCCCCGCCACTTGCTGACAGTGCTTTCACTTCTTCATCCCTCCTCCCCACAGCATTGCTGCTCCCTGCTCGCTCTCCACCCATTCTTACCTCTTCCCCCTCCATCCCTTCTACCCAGGACCATTAGCTGGGATTTCTGGGGAGGCTCTGGGCGTTCACGAACACACCTAAAACTTCAACAAATTTATTGTATGTCTGTGCGTTGTTCTGGGCAGAGGATGTATATTTTTCATTAGCTTGACAGAGGATTCTCTGACACCCGTCCCCCCAAAAATGATGAAAGCCACTGACTATCACCCAAGGTTGAAATCTTCTTCTATACCGCTCCTCCTCTCTTCAGAATGCTAGTCCCAAATTTCTAGCTACTCACCATCTTGCCTGGATGCTATGTGATAGGCACCTCTTAATCAAAGTCCACTCTCCTCCCCCCAAATCTCCCCACTCTGGGTTAATATACCTAAGCATTCTACCTCTCTGAGACAAGCTGGGGTGATTTCAGAAAGTTCCTGCTCGGGACTTCCCTGGTGGTCCGGTAGTAAGATTCTGTGCTCCTAATGCAGGGGGCACAGGTTCAATCCCTAGCTGTGGAACTAAGATCCCAAATGCCACATGGTGCATCACGTGGCCAAAAAAAAAAAAAAAAAAAAGGAACGTTCCTGCTCAAATGTATACAGACCTGTTATCTCTAAGAGGATTAGCTTCCAATACCTCTTGGTGGTCAGTAACTTACAGCCCAGGTTAGCTGATCTGATCACTTGGCAAAGAGCAAGCCCTGGGGGCATGGAACCCAGAGCAGATGGAGTTTGAATGGCTGGGGGAAGGGACAGAGCTGGGGCTGGCCACCAGAGCAGCTCCACCGCAGGGGTCAGAGCATGGGCCACACGTGGCTACATCGGAAGCTGCAATAGTATCTTGCCATTGAGATCCATTCTCTCCCCATTCTACAGATAAAAAAACTGAGGCCAAGACCTTGAACCCAGGACTCCTGACTCATCGTCTTTTGCTCTTTCCAATACCCCATACTCTCGCATCAGAGGGCCCTAACTTGGGGTCCACAGATGGGCGTTAGGGTGGGAGGATCTGTGGGAAATATTATACAACATTCTGTGAGTTGGAGTGAGTGTGTGTTTTCAGGGGTGACTGTGGCTCATATGAGATTCTCTGAGGGCTCCTAGATTCCTCAAACAGTTAAAAATCTGGGATCAGATTTGTTCAGAAATGAAATGAACATCTTGGTTTCCAAAACACCCACCTCTACATACTTTAAGCAATTCCCTTCACTTTTGGGGGGACCTCAGTTTACCCATCTGTGAAATCAACTGTTGATCATTTTTAAGCCCTCTTTATTTTTTTTGTTTGAAGCAATAGTATCATTTCTTTTTTTTTTTTTTTTTTTTTTTTGGGTTCACGGGCCTCTCACTGCTGTGGCCTCTCACGTTGCAGAGCACAGGCTCCGGATGCGCAGGCTCAGCGGCCATGGCTCACAGGCCCAGCCGCTCCGCGGCATGTGGGATCTTCCCGGACCGGGGCACGAACCCGTGTCCCCTGCATCAGCAGGAGGACTCTCAACCACTGCGCCACCAGGGAAGCCCAATAGTATCATTTCTTAATAACAAACAAACAAAACACAGCTATGCAGGTCACCAGACGGCAAATAAAGCTGAGATGGTAGGGGCTGGCAGCTCAGGACCCCTTCCACTTCTTTTTCTCTCTCTTCTCCCCAGCTCAGCATGGCAGCTCTGCCCCAAACTCCACAAACTAGCATTTGAGAGCCAGAAAATCCTAGGACCTTTTTCTGAAACCACACATCCCTCCCCAAGCCGCTGCAGCCGCCCACTTCCAGACTCCAAAAGATCCTGCAGGGACACAGTGTCTTCAAGCTATCCTGCACACCCCCCAGGCCTGCCGTGCGCCAACCCAGCAGAAGTCTTGTGGGGGACACAGAAGGCCTGGGAACCAGAAGAGTCTCTTTGCTGCAGGGAACATTGAACCAACAAAAGTTCCAACATATTCCTTGTTTGGGCTATGCCTGGGTTTTCTTGAATGGGTTACAAAAAGGAAAAAAAAAAAAATCCACAGGTGGTGGTGTGATGAATTGGGAGATTGGGATTGACATATATACACTAATATGTATAAAATGGATAACTAAT